AAGCAGACAATTCATAGAAGAGAGTAATGACCAATATACACATGAAAATACAGTAAATTCACTAATAGCCAGGGAAATGTAAATTAAGTAACAATGAGATATCACTTTAAGTCTATTTGTCAAAAAATTTTTAAAGTAATAATGTCTATTGTTGGCAAGAACATAGGAAGGAGCCCCTGGGTCCGGGAGAGGCCACACGCCCCGGGGTCCGGGTGAGGCCACGCGCCCCTGGGTCCGGGTGAAGCTGGATCCCGGGTCTGGGTGAAGCCTTGCGCCCCTGGATCCGGGTGAGGCTGGGTCCCGGGTCCAGGTGAGGCCGCGCCCCTGGGTCCAGGTGAGGCCACGCGCCCCTGGTCTGGGTGTAGCTGGATCCCGGGTCCTGGTGAGGCCATGCGCCCCTGGATCTGGGTGAGGCTGGGTCCCAGGTCCGGGTGAGACCGCGTGCCCTGGGGTCCGGGTGAAGCTGGATCCCGGGTCCGGGTGAGGCTGTGCGCCCCTGGATCCGGGTGAGGCTGGGTCTCGGGTCTGGGGAGGCCGCGCCCCTGGGTCCGGGTGAGGCCACGCGCCCCTGGGTCCAGGTGAAGCTGGATCCTGGGTCGGGTGAGGCCGTGCGCCCCTGGATCCGGGTGAGGCTGGGTCCCAGGTCTGGGTGAGGCCACGCCCCTGGGTCCAGTGAGGCCACGCGCCCCTGGGTCTGGGTGTAGCTGAATCCCGGGTCCGGGTGAGGCCGTGAGCCCCTGGATCCGGATGAGGCTGGGTCCCGGGTCCGGGTGAAGCTGGATCCTGGGTCCAGGTGAGGCCGTGCGCCCCTGGATCGGGGTGAGGCTGGGTCCCAGGTCCGGGTGAGGCCGCGCCCCTGGTCCGGGAGAGGCCACGCGCCCCTGGGTCCAGGTGAGGCCACGCGCCCCTGGGTCCGGGTGAGGCTGGGTCCCGGGTCCAGGTGAGGCCGTGCCCCTGGGTCCGGGTGAAGCCGCGCCCCTGCATCCGGGCGAGACCAAACCAGAGGGAGTTGGACCTGCATTACCACCATTTGTCCACCATCCAGAGCTGAAAAGTCAGTGCCGACATGTACACATAAGGAACTGGTGGACATTGAAATTGGGTCTCAAAAGAACTGTTGGTCCAGAAAGAAACTTACTACAGACTGATTCATTTGCCTGTCAGCATAACTATTATTGCTCGTCTCACATTCGGTTCTTATAAGTATATTTCTAGTAACACATGATCTCACTCATCTAGGGGAAATGATGAACAACATAGACTGATGAACAAGAACAGACCCAGAAACAAGGAGGCATCGATCGACTGTCGGGCCTCAGAGGGAGGGTAGGGGAGGGTGGGGGTAGGGGGGAGAGATCAACCAAAGGACTTGTGTGCATGCATACAAGCCTAACCAATGGTTAAGGACAACAGGGGGGTGGGGGCATCCGTGGGGAGGGGTGGGGATGGGAATGGGGGGATGAGGACAAATATGTGACACCTTAATCAATAAAGAAATTTTTTAAAAAAAGAAGAACATAGGAAGGAGATCCTCATCTATTGTTGGTGGAAATAGGAAGTACAGAACCTTTGTGTAAAACAATTGGCAATATCCATTCAAATTACGTTTATTTGTACCTTTTTCAAGGAATGCCATATCTGCTTTATATGCCAGAGGAGTAAAAAGCATCAAGAGGGAAGATTATACATAAGTAGATGTTTTCTTCAGTTTTGTTTATAGTAGAAAAATAAAGTAGAGCTCTACCAGTTGACTTTGAGGAATTACCATGTAATTTTGGTATCATGAAAAAAGCAAGATGCCCAAAGAGATCAATTTGCCACAAAGTGACCAATTGGTCTCCTAATAAATGGTGTCATATCAGGGGCTCAGTGTTTGTCTCTGTAACTGGCAGGTTGGTAGCAGTAGCTAGAGAGGCCTTGGCAAGTGGGAGGCCATTCTGTTGGGCCCATGCATAACCTCAGTGTCTGTCACCAAAGCCAATTCACTCGTGTGCCCATTGTGTCAGTCCTGGGAAGCCCTATGACATAGGATGGCAGACATCAACTAGCCTAATCACTTAGACTTCTTTGTATCTGATCCATCAACCTTTCATCCTAGGCCCCTGATCATCGACAACTGCCCAAGAATTTGCGTACAATGTCATTTTGGCTCATTTTTCCTTCCAAATAAAGTGGGTAACCAGATGTACCACTCACAGTTCTGCCTACTAGGGAGATTTTCCCTGCACAAAATTGTTCAAAGCCATCCCTAAATGTTTATATAATTCGGCCATATACATATTCAATTTCGACCACATACCTAGCTAATACAACTGTGAACCAAGTTTGAGCTTTCCCTCCTCCTTCAGCTGGTTCTACTGGACCTCCCTCCATAATATAGCCATAGGTAAGAGGGTAAGGATGCCTGTGCAGTTGTGGTGGTTGACAGGGGGTCTATCTAGGCCTTCTGGTCCTACTAAAGCTTGATACGAAATATACCATTTCAATCTTTCAATGAACTGCTTGTGCCCATCAGACTTTATAACCTGGCAGGTGTGACAAAACCTTTAATGGGCATTTCTGGACCCATGGCCTCTTGGTTCCCCATGATCAAATATTTTATCTCTATAAGGGCCCAGTAATATGCCAGGACATATTTCTCAAAGGTATATAATTCTCTTCTTCAGATGGCATGGTCTCATTCCAGAAGGGTCTGCATTGTGATTTTCCCACTGGAGCTTGCTATAAAGGACATACTAAATGGATTTAAATTAAATATATCCTTTTGCAAATTTACCTCAAAACTCAATATAAGTGAAAGCTGAGAAAAGGGAAAATAGTCTAAATAATAGATAATATACTATTATGAGAATCACTCAATTTAACACTGGTTTGTGGTCCTTGACCCACTTATGAGGCACTCCAAGCCCTCATGTAAATAATACACTTGTATCTAAAGACTGTTTAGATTCCAGCTAGGCCTCTGCTATAAGGGAACATAAAAATTCCTGATGAAAGTGGTGTAAAACTAAGTAACCAGGATTCCCAGATGTTATCAGACCAACTGACTAAAATGAGGATTATTATCTCAAAACTCAAACTCACAATGGCTTTAGTCCCTACCAGTTTGATAATTTGGACCTCAGCAGTCCATGTAAAACAGCTGCAATTATTTCTGGAAATCTCCAAAGGATGCTTTCCAGGACTAGGTAGCCACATTCCTGGGGGTCAATTGAATTGTATTCTAGGTGAATGTCACTCCCTGAAGTACTATAACTGAGAGTCACACTGAGTAAAATGTGAATGGTGTCCCTGGAATGGTGTAATATTGACTCTGCAGCCTTTCAGGTGTTCACAAACCAATTACCACCTGGGTTCTACTGAATTCTTCCTCTTGTGCTTCAGCTGCCCCTGGCATTGTCCACTGCCCTTCACATTGCCTGAAGGAGAACCACTGATACTAAAGTTGAGGGCACCTGTTGCACGCTCCCCAGTGCTCATATCAAGAGGGCAGTCCCTGATAATCCCAGAGCCATTGTTTGCACATTGCCAGGACAGAGCTGGGTTCTGGGCAGATATGAGAAGAAAGACCTGCTCCGTACATCCATGGCACTTTGCTTCCTAGGTACTCAAGCCCAAACCTTACAAAGCCTCTCACCAAAGTGTCCCATCAGCTTCTTCTTTACATTCATTCTTCATCTCCTGCAAGCAACTCTCAACACTATTTCCCACTAACAAGAGTCTGCCTTTACCATGGAAGTAATAAGTGGTTTACTGTAATCTATCTCAATGCAGAATGCACTAACATTTCTATATGCCTTCTATAACCTCCATCCAAAAAGACAAAGAATCATATCCATGGTATTTTATTTTTTTGTTAATCCATACCCGAGGATATTTTTTGTATTGATTCTTGGAGAGAGTGGAATGGAGGGAGGGAAAGGGGGAGAAAAAGGGAGAGGAAGAGAGAGAGAGAGACATGTGAGAGAGACATATCGATTGGTTGCCTCCCAACACACAGACCAGGGCCAGGGATCAAACCTGCAACCCAGATAACAACATGCCCTCAACTAGGAATTGAACCCTAGATCCTTCCATGTGCAGACCGACACTCTAACCATTGAGAAACACTGGCCAGGGCAATATCCATGGTTATTTTAATGATGACTGTATGTATATAAGTATATCTTAGAGGAAAAAAGGATTGGGTACTTACTTTATACCTAGTTGCATTCTAGAAAGAAAACTTTATAACTTGTAATTTTTAAAAATCTTTAATTTACTAAGCATATTTAATATTTCCAAAGCTATTTCCCTATGCCTGTTTTCCCATGGAGAATAATTAAATAAATCATATCCAAAAACGTGCAATTACTTGTACGCTGAAAACTTGACAACAAAATCAGTCTTCAGGGACACAGAAAGAAAAACTGGTTTTACATCTCCCATAACTTTACCTTCCCAACATCCAGCAAGGTCAAATTACAAGGACAAATGTCTTGAGGAAGATTATAATGGCCTTGAAGTAATTGTTCTAGTTCCACATTAAGAAAACGTTCATATTGTTTATTGTTCACAAACACCTTGTTACAAGCTTGTCAATTCAACAAAGGAAATAGATACCTTCAGACTTAGTAAAAATAAGTTAGTTAAGAAGATGGATGATCCTCACCTTGTATACTTCAATACTTAGCCATGTCAGTTCTTGAAGCAAAAGGCTTTCAAATTTCTTTATTGTGTCCATTTTGCCTTTACTTGTTCACTTTTAGCTAGAGATCTCTCTAAGCACTCTTCCACATAGGATTGGGAGTTTCAATTTTGATTTATATATTCAAAAAATGCTTCTGCATTTGTCAATATTCTGTAAGCCAGTAGCAGTAATTCAGTTTCTGGTTGAGTCCAGCCTGGCTGTCTGCCACCACTATGGTCCAGCTGCCACCAACAATCTCCTGGTTATAACTTTTAAATGGCAGCTTTAGCCATATCTTTTCCTCAGTGTTTCAAAATCATTTGGTCACCCTGGCCTGATGGCTCAGTTGGTTGGAGCATTGTCCCATATACCAAAAGGTTACAGGTTCAATTCCCGGTCAGGGCACATACCTAAATTGTGGGTTTGATCCCCAGTTGGGGCTTGTATGGGAGGCAACCGATTGATGTTTCTTTCTCACATCAACATTTCTCTCTCTCTCTCTCTCTCTCTCTCTCTCTCCTCTCTCTCTCTCTCTCTCTTCCTCTCACTCTCCCGCTTTCCCCCTCTCTAAAATCAATAAAAACATATCAACAGGTGAGGATTTTTAAAAAAATCATTGGGCCTAGTATCTAAAGCAATCCATTGCACTTATAAATGTTTGGAATGTATTCAATAACATGAAATGCAAAAAATGATAAAAATGTTAAATCTTCTCATTAAAGTAACAGTGTTCTTGGCTCCTTAATTTCCTAACATCTAACTTCTTTCATTATTTTAGCAACTAATAACATTTCCTAAAAAGTAAATGATTGTTCTGTACAAAATCAGGGAGGACATGTTTATACGGACACAAAAGAAGTCCTCATATGAAAAGTGCCACCTACAAAACCGCACTAATTCTAACAATGTGAGAGAGAAGCTAACACATATATAAAATAAATGGTCAAATAATTAGGGTATTTGCCTCTCAAATATATTATGTCAATTAAGTATACAAAATATATAAACTGTGATCAACATATATACTAGCAATTTAAAGAAAACACATTTATAAAAATGTTAGATTAAAATTTGGCTTAAATTATCGAATATTGAATCGTTAAAATAAAAATGCAGGGAAGTGATCATGGTAGATGCTGAAACCAGAAATTAAGATCCAGGAGCAAAACAACAACAACAACAACAACAACAACAACACACACACACACACACACACACACACACACACAGCTAAAAAAGTATCAAAGTAATAAACAAAAGAATCTTAAAAGGGAAAAATCCAGATAGAAGGACACCTAATATGAAAAAAAAAAGTGAAGGTAAAGAAATATGCATTTACCAATCTATTGTTGAAAAACTTCAGAAGTAACTGAATACAATTACTAAAAAAAGATTAAAGGGAGAGAGCCTTAAAAGCAGAAAGAGAAAAGCAGTTAACTACAAGGAAGCTCACATAAGACTATCAGCTGATTTCTCAACAGAAACTTTGCAGGCCAGAAGGGATTGGCAAGAAATATTTAAAGTGAGATAAGCACGGACCTACAACCAAGATTACCCTACTCAGCAAAGCTGAGTTTAGAAACATTTAAAATTGAAGGACAGATAAAGAGCTTTCCAGAAAAGAAAAAGCTGAAGGAATTCTCCACCAAACCAGTATTACATGAAATGTTAAAGGGTCTTCTTTATGAAGAAAAAGAGGGGGGGGGGCAATTTAAAATATGAACAATAAAATGGCAATAAACACATATCTATCAACAATTGAATCTAAAAAAAACCCACACAAAATAAGCAAGCAAGAATCACAGAAACGGAATCATAAATACAGAGAATGGTTATGGTTGCCAGATGGGAGGGGGGAGGTTTGAGAGGATTGGTGAAAAAAGGTGAAGGGATTAAGAAGTTACAGAATGGCCGAAACCGGTTTGGCTCAGTGGATACAGCGTCGGTCTGCGGACTGAAAGGTCCCAGGTTCGATTCCGGTCAAGGGCATGTACATTGGTTGCGGGCACATCCCCGGTGGGGCATGTGCAGGAGGCAGCTGGTCGATGTATCTCTCTCATCGATGTTTCTAGCTCTCTATCCCGCTCCCTTTCTCTCTGTGAAAAATCAATAAAAAATAAAAAAAAAGTTACAGAATAGTCATGGGGATGTAAAGTACAGCAAAGGGAATATAGTCAATAATATCCTAATAACTATGTATGGTGTCAGATGGGTACTAGACTTACTGGGGTGATCACTTTGTAAGTTTTATAAATGTCTAATCACTATGTTGTGCACCTGAAATTAATATCATATTGTATGTTAACTGTAACTGAAAAATTAAAAATGATTTAAATTTTTAAAAATTAATTCTAAAAGGTATCATGATATATTTATATAACATTTTTATTTTTTAAATGTATTTTTATTGATTTCAGAGAAGAAGGGAAAGGGAGGGAGATATAGAAACATAATGATGAGAGAGAATCATTGATTGGCTGCTTCCTGCATGCCCCACACTGGGGATCGAGCCCCGCAACCCGGGCATGTGCCATGACTGGGAATCAAACCATGACCTTCTGGTTCATAGGTCACTGATCAACCATTGAATCATGCCGGCTGGGCTATATACAAAAGTACAGAGAATTGCCAAAAATTGCTAAGTTGCCAGATGTTAGGGACTGAGTGAAGGGGCGATGGAGGCAGTGGGATGTGGAGAAAGGTGGGCATGGTTATAAAAGGCCAGAAAAAGGGATCCTGTGGTGCTGGAACTGTTCTGTATCTTGATTCTAGTGGTAGTTACACAAGCCTACACAGTAATAAAATCTCATAGAACTAAATACACACACTGTGCGACTGAAAGAGATCAGTTTGGAACTTGTGGAATTTGTAGTGTCATGACATACCCAGGTGCAGACATCCAGTAGGTAGTTGGAAACTGAAGGTATAGGCCAGGTGAAGGGCGATATCTAGACGTGACCCAGATTTAGAAGTCTTCATTGTAAATAAAACCAAAGGAATGGGTAAGGGGTAGAAGTTCTGTGAGAAAATAAATGGGCAAAGAATGGAACCTGGGGTTATATCAATAGTTAAACTGCAAATGGTGACAACTGACCCCAAAACGGAAGGCAGGAAAGAACTGACCTTTTGTGAGAAAAATTAGCAGTGTGGGAGAGTCATGAAATCTAAGGTAAGAGATTTTTGAGAAAAAGGAAATAGCCAACAGCATCAAATGCAAAAAAGGGAGTGACACTTCATACTGTGAGGTAGAGAAGGAGAATAAGCATGAATAAAAATGCGCAGAAATTTGTACTCGGGAGAGCTGGAAGCAATAGAGTTCACATCGTAAAGCCTCTATTTTCTCTGTGAAGTAGGAAGCAAGATCACAGAAAGGCTTCTTACCTAAGAATCAAAGACAAAAGCAAAACACAGATTTGAAAATAGACATTAGCGACATTAAACATAAAAAAATGTAGTTGAAGTTCTGATGTCTGTTAAATTGGGTTACTATTAAAGATTTGTTCTTTAATAGTCTACTGTATACAAGGCTCTCCCAGAGCAATGGTGTTCAAACAAATAAAGACTGTCATTGTTCAGATTCCATAAAAGCCTGGCAGAGTGTCTGGCACTCAATGAGTATGCAATAAATATTTGTTGAATAAAATGAAGAAGCAAAAAATGAGACAACATAAAAATATCTTAAGAACAAGAAGGTACCAGGAAGGTTTTGCTGCAAATGTTTATAATAAAAAAATAAAAAATACATATTTAAATAATACTAAGAATTTAAGATATGAGAAATTTTCTAATTGTTACATAGAGATACATTACAGGGTCTTATTAAAAATCCAGCAAGACTCAGCAAAAATCTCGTCCCATGAGTGTTTTTGTTGTTGTTGTTGTTAATCCTCACCCCAGGACATTACTTTTCCAGGGAAGGGAGGGAGGGAGGAGGAAGGAAAGAGAAAGAGAAACATTGATGTGAGAGAGACACCTCCTCTGGTTGCCTCCTGCACACACCCCAACTGGGTGCAGGGAGAGAACCTGCAATCCAGGTACATACCTTTGACCGGGAATCGAACCCAAGACCCTACAGTGTGCAGGCCAACACTCTAACTACTGAGCAACAAGGGCCAGGGCTCATGGGCTCTTATTATTTACTAGAGGCCCGGTGCACAAATTTGTGCATGGGGGGGGGTGTTCCTCAGCCCAGCCTGCACCCTCTCCAATCTGGGATCCCTCTCACAAACCAGGACTGCTGGCTCCCAACTGCTCATCTGCCTGCCTTCCTGATTGCCTAACCGCTTCTTTCCTGATTGCCTGCTTCTCCATCCTGATCACCCCTAACCACTCCCCTGCCAGCCTGATTGAAGCCTAACTGCTCCCCTGCCAGCCCGATTGCCCCTAACTGCCCTCCCCTGCAGGCCTGGACACCCCTAACTGCCCTCATCTGCAGGCCTGGTCACCCCTAACTGCCTTCCCCTACAGGCCTGGTCCCCCCCAATTGCTCTCCCCTGCAGGCCTGGGTCCCCCCCAACTACCCTTCCCTGCAGGCCCAGTCACCCCCAACTTCCCTCCTCTGCCGGCCTGGTCACCCCTAACTGCCCTCCCTGCAGGCTTGATTGCCCCCAACTGCCCTCCCTTGCAGGCCTGGTCCCTCCCAACCGCCCTCCCCTGCTGGCCTGATCGCCACAACTGCCCTCCCTTGCAGACCTGGTCCCTCCCCTGCTGGCCATCTTGTGGCGGCCATCTTGTGTCCACATGAGGGCAGGATCTTTGACCACATAGGGACAGCCATCTTGTGTGTTGGTGTGATGGTCAATTTGCATATTACTCTTTTATTAGCTAGGATAGAGGCCTGGTGCACAGGTGGGGTCCGGCTGGTTTGCCCTGAAGGGTGTCCCGGATCAGGGTGGGGGTTCCCTTGGGACATGGGGTGGCCTGGCGAGGGGCCTGTGGTGGTTTGCAGGCCGGCCACACCCCCTGGCAACCCAAGTGGAGGCCCTGGTATCTGGGATTTATTTATCTTCTATAATTGAAACTTTGTAGCCTTGAACGCAGGCTAGGGCATGCCAGGAAGTTTGGCTTCCTCCATGCCGGGGAAACCCAAGCCTCCTGCTTGCTCTGGGCCGCAGCCATTTTTGTTGGGATTTATTTATCTTCTATAATTGAAACTTTGTAGCCTTGAGTGATCAAGCCAGCAGGCTGGAAGTTGGCTTCCTCCATTGCGGGGAAACCCAAGCCTCCTGCTTGCTCATGTGCGCCGCCATTTGTTGGGTTAATTTATACTTCTACTAATTGACTGTTGTGCTTGGGTGAGCAAAGCCAGCAGGGTTGCGGAACTGCTTTCATTGAGGAAAACCAATGCACCTGTCGCACAGCGCAGCATTGGTTGGTTAATTTCATACTCGCTGATTGGCGTGGGC